TTGAGCTGTTTTTCATTTGGTAAACACCTACTACAGTAAACATTCAAAGTGGTATGCAACATGAGCTTACACATCGACACGCACACGTCTTTACCAGAGGGCTCCCAGTGCCTTGATGGACTCCTACTGTTTTGTTTTCCTATGTGTTTTTATTTGTCATGAAAATGTCTGGATTCAAAAAGGCTGAATGCATATTTAGTGCATAGTAGAGGTCGACCGATTGATCGGCCGGACGATTTTTGGCATTTTTTAAAATTAATCGGCATCGGCCGATTGTGCTGCAAATTAGGCCCATTTATAGGCAGGTGCATCTGCGGGCAGCTAAGCGTTGTTGCGGAATGCTGGAGAATCTCCCTCTGGCTGCGTGAGAGACTGAGCAACTCGCACTCTGCAGCCGCTTCTCGTTCACACACAGCTTCAGCTAATGATGTCAGGGCAAAACAGAACGTTTTGAAAGTGTAATTACGTTTTACCCTACTAGAATTGATGCCGGAAAGTTATCATATTCATAAGTGCAACAAGTCATTTGCATGTGAAAGTAGAAACGCATGCAATTCAGACGAAACTTCTGGGCCGATTAAGAAAATCGGCCAAAAAATCGGCATCATGTATCGGCCATCGGCTGCCCTGATTTTTAAATATCGGCATCGGCCAGTGAAAAACCCATTTCGGTCGACCTCTAATGCGTAGCAATGGTGCACTTGGGCATCATGGGATTTCTAATTCTTAAGCATGCAAACAAGTGCCTTCCAGCAGCCAGTTTGAATACCACTTTAGACTGGATTGTGTAACGGGTCGATATTTACTGTCATGTTGAAGTAAACGTTAGAGTTTAATGCATGGATGGCACAGCAAACGGATACAGCAAAGATATTATTAAAGGAATAGTTCACCCAAAAATGAATGTTTAGTGAAAGTTTATTCGCCTTCAGGGTGTCCAAGATGTAGATGGGTTTGTTTCTTGATCAGAACAGATTTGGAGAAATTTAGCATTCACCAGTGGAACCTTATGCAGTGAATGGGTGCCGTCAGAATGAGTCCAAACAGCAGATAAAAACATCACAATCCACACAAGTCCAGTCCATCAACTAACGTCTATTGAAGTACAAAGCTGCCTGTTTGTAATAAATCCATCATGAAGTTTTTTTTAACTTCAAACCATTCTTCTATCTATAATATTGATTTCTCCAGTAAAAAAGTCGTCTCAATCAGGAGAGAAATATGCACAGATCAAGCAACGAAAATGGTTTTAATGTAAGAGGACAACGAGGGTTGAATTATTTTTTACTGGAGGAAGTGTTATGGATTGTGGACTCATATTTTGGCCAGAATTGACCATTTAAAGTTAAAATGTCTAATGATGGATCCATTGGTAAGCAAAATTTGTTTAAATTAGGGCTGCACGATAAATCGCATGCGATATTTAACGCGCATCTTGTCAGAAAGCCGGTTCTGTAATCTGCGGTAAATCTCCATCACGTGCGTGCTTTCACATGGAGCAGCATTAACTACACAGAGCCGTTGACAAGATGCGCGTTAAATATCCCATGCGAGTTATCGTGCAGCCCTAGTTTAAATGAAGAAATAAACTCCTCTACATTTTGGAATGCCTGAGGGTGAGTGTATTTTCATTTTTGGGTAAACTATTAAAGGTATACTGTTTTTTTTTGTTGTTTTTTTTAACGGGCCAGATGTTCTTTTATAAAGCTCTAGAATGGAGATGTATACAATAAGATGAAGTCAAGAATGTGCTAATATCAAACTCTCAAATGCATGTATATTGTACATGTAGCACAGGGGAATGTTCACAGTATCATACTTTTTTTTCTTTCTTCTTCTTCTTTGGTGTCTGTTTTACTACTGAACAGGAGTGTTTTGAGTTCTTGCATTGCACCTTAAGTCTCATCTGTATGGTTGTAGGTATATTGAGATCTTTAAGAGCAGCCGAGCTGAAGTGCGGACACATTATGAACCCCCACGTAAAGGCATGGGCATGCAGAGACCTGGGCCTTACGACCGACCCAGCGGAGGAGGCCGGGGCAACAACGGCACGAGTCGTGGGGGATCCTTCGATCGGATACGACGTGGAGGATACGGTGGAGGTGAGACCAGCTTCTTTTCCCAGTGTGCCACATTTTTGTGCTTTAGCCATCCTGCATGTGCTTTTTTTTAATATATATATATATTTTACTTGTGTATTTTTTTTAAAAATAGGAGTCTCAGAGGGACGTTATGGTGATGGTGGTAATTTTCAGAGTACCACAGGTCATTGTGTTCATATGAGGGGACTGCCTTACCGGGCAACAGAACCTGATATCTACAATGTGAGTTGGGGGTGTTTGATGTACATGATTTTTATATGAAAGTTATGGTCATTTTGAAATACATTACATTTGGATATCAAAAAATATGTTTAAATTAAGTTAAACCTTTTCTGTGCAGTTTTTCTCTCCTCTGAACCCGGTGCGTGTGCACATTGAGATTGGTCCAGATGGGCGAGTAACCGGTGAGGCTGATGTGGAATTTGCGACACATGAAGATGCAGTGGCTGCAATGTCAAAGGACAAAGCAAACATGCGTAAGTTAGGTGTAACCTGACTAGAAGGAATTGCTTTTGTTATTGATATTAAATATGAGAATTTTACCAATTTTAAACCACTTTTTTTCTGTTCAGAACACCGTTATGTTGAGTTGTTCCTAAACTCAACAGCAGGGGGCAGTAATGGGGGCTATGGAGGGCAGATGATGGGGGGAATGGGTAAGTATAAATAATGTGACTGTATGTAAAGTTGAGAAGCTGATGTTATATTAATGTCACAGAAATCAGGGCTTCTACAGTCTTAATGTCTTAATTTGGTGCTTTTATAAATGAAAGTAGTTTTTGTTTTGTTTTCCAATACAAATAGCTAACATGCTTAAATCAACGTACATTTACTTTATGCAAATTGAAGATATGAAGTCTTGTTTTCTGTGAAATTGAACAATGAAATTTTGAAAATTGAAATGAAATTTTTTTTGAACTGAATTTTTTAGTCCCATTGGCAGAAAAAAAAGAATTATATACATATATATATATATATATATATATAATTTTTTTTTTTT